AAGGATATGCAATCATCGTATTGGGCGCATTTAAACAATATCATTACATTCACGCAATTGCTTTAGATACATATTTTTCGGAAGGGACACAATCATAATTTGTACGAATACGTAACACAGACGAGGCAAAGGTGCAATAGGGTTTTTTTTTTAAATTCAAAGTAATTTAAAAAGTAGTTAATTGAAATTTTTATTTTATTATAATCTCAATCGTTAGAATTAAAAAAATTAAGGATTCAGGGCTTATAACACACACAGATGAGTGCATATTCGTTCCAACCCGATTTTTATTATTTGTCAGAGTGATTGTGGCATTGTGTTGACATTGGGTATTAACTGCAAATCCTTTTCAGTACGCCTCAAAAAACATTAAGTACCTTTTGATAGATTTCATAATATTAAAATAAATGTAGAAGTATATCTAGTTGTATATACTGACGATCATTTTCCAAATATGGAAAGATAATGTACGATTTAATCTTATTAAAAAGCCTTTTTCAGTTTGTCACATCATATTAAATTGAAAATTAATTTATAACTTAATAATTTAAACGAAAGGATTCTATTGAATAATTTCAAAATGCTTGAGATAACTTCGCTATAATTGAAGAACAAATTTTTTACTCGTGAACTATCCAATTTGAAAAAGTTAGAATTGCTTCTACGTCTACTTACAAAATGTGTTTTTCAATCCAAACCTCATTTAGTTCAAACTAACATTTCGATAATTATGACAGTGATAGTATATTACATAGGAAATAATATCCTTTAATATGAAGTATAATGAAGCATATATTATCCATGTTTACAATAGCTGTATTCTTTTGAGATGATCGCTCCAATAAACCAACTTTTAGAATAACTTGGCATTACTGCTTAAACTAACAAATAGCTGACAACAATTTCAAATAAGTTTGCGATTGAATTTTATGAAAAGTTTTTTATATAAATATACATATAAAAATTCCTATATATACGGTAACACAATGGGCTAATAGACCTAAGTGGATCAATAAGGAATCGCCGGTATAACATAACCTAACCTACATATAAAGAATGAATGACACAAAAAAGTTATTGGTGAGCATTTTATATTGCATGTATTTAAATTTATATAAAAGTAAATTTATTTTAGGCTTTATCCATGATAACACAGAAAACTGATGAAAAAGAAGGATGGAAAGACAGTGGCGCATTAATTAAATATTTGAAATATTTAATAGCTCCAGCTCTTCAGAAGAATCTGGTCAGGAAACTCATAAAAAATGTGTTGACTTCAAGTTAACAATTGAAAATAAGAGTGAGTTGGACTTCAAACGCAATTTCAGGTTATTGCGTGAAACGGTGAATTACATAATTATGAGCATACGAAGAACTGAAATCAATTAAATAATTATTTAATACTATTTTCAGTAAGGTTTTCTCAGTCTGCATATTTTCCGAAAGCGGCAAGAAAGCTGAAATTCGTGCTTCCTTGTAGCACCGCAAAAACCAATGGTCTAGTTTTTAGTCCATTGTTTCTAGACTGTAATTATAGAACAGCAATTAGAAATAGATGAAAAGAAATTTCAGAAATAACATTACTAGTTATTACTAAATGAGTAGTATTTAGCAATGTTTTATTTTTATTGCAATTCTCTTATAGCTTTTTACATATATTATAACGATTGCGTTTTGTATTTATATGGTACATGTATTGCATTTTGTAATGAACATAATACAGAAATTATAAATTCCTTCATAAATTATTAACGAATGACACCTTCACAATTACTAACCTAATTATCAATTTCTAACCAGTCATCTTAATAGTATCCTGCTATTAAGCCTATAGATCACCTGGTAATCGCAGCGAGTAAGGCCCAAAATTTGATTGCTCTTTAGATGGAATCAAAATTTTATCACTTATAATGCAAATTATGGTTATTTATCAAACATAACATTCTACGAAGTAAAGTCATTTTTTACTCGTATTATTTATACAATCGTAGTATAATACCTTAGTAATAAGAACTAATTAATATTTAATCTTCTGAAATAAATTTTAGACATTGAGTTCTAATTTATTTTGGCTTTTTATTTGCTCATTTTTGTGATACACAGTGCTTTTAATGTAGTTAATGCTTCAAAAATTATAAATAATATATAATTCTCATGAAGTTTAAATGAATTTAAGTATGTATTTATTGAATATATTTGAATTCAGTAAGTCTAATTTTAATATAAATTTTAGTTATGTTTTTATCAGTGTTCAAATTTGTATATTGGTTTTGAATTCTTGTTGATATGTAAAGTATTTAATAAAGCAACAATAACGCCCGGACATTTTAAACTCATGATTTTATATACAACCAATAAATATGTAAAGTTATTAAAATTATGCATTTGCATTAGGGCCATGTTATGCAGAGTGTCTCGGGCACGGCAAATTACGCTCTTTCGGGCTATGCCGAAAATGCATATTATGCAGAGTGTCACACCAGTATTGCCAATTTTATGTTTTTACTACTTCTTGGTACTTCTTGGTTGTGCCTAAATTTAAAAGGAAATTTAGATATCCTCACTTTCAATTTACCACCAAAAATAACTCGCATAAAAAAACTCATAGAGGCTGTAATAATGTTAATTTATTATTATATTATCTTATAATAATTGTTAACAGTACTTACGCGTTTCTTTAAAATCGAAAAGTGTAATAATTATATTATTAGCGATTTGTAAAAAAAATGCTGTGTTGCTTACTGCCATTTTTTCTCCAAAACGTACTAGAATTGTAGTAGTTTGCTCCTAAAAGGCACAAATTTTGAAATTTATTACTAAACAACACTGTTTTGCCTTAGTGCCGGGGCACAAATACGCCGGCTCTCATGCCGGAGTTTGAACGGCCATATTCTTTTTTCTCTCATTCTCAAATTTAAAATTTGCTTTGAAAACAACAACAATTGTACTCATGCCGTGCCCGAGACACTCTGCATAACATGGCCCTTACATACAAATATAAACCGTAAGGTCTGACATTGAAATTTCGTGGTAGTCAGGTTTTTGTAATGATGCCTTAGAAAAAGAAAATGAAACAGAAATTAACAGGGTACTCGTTAAGAGCTGGATGGATTACTGCAGCTATTGTAAATATAATTTACAAAAGTGTGCTTGTAAGTAACTCCAATGGGACAGAAGGCACAGAAGATCCTTTTGAATGAAGACCAAAATGTGAAATACACAATAAATTAAAAAAAATTACTTTTTTAAAATATTTAAATTTATTCATCAACACTCACAATAGACATAAAATAATAAACAAACTTCTCTAACATCTGAATGGAATTTTCCGTTTTCTTCCAAAAATCATTGATAATAGATTCGTTATAAGATTTGGCACCATTAAGCAGCTTCAAGAAAGCGGTCTTCATTTTTGCGAATTTTGTTCTTGCTTTGCATGATCATTTTTAAGCGACACGTTAATTGTCCCACTTTAAATCAATATAAAGTGTTACTTTATATCTACTACGTAGATGCAAAATCAGACAGTACCGGGTTCGAATATTAACTGCTAAAGCTATTTAGGTATCAACTTTACATTTGACAATAAACATTTATCGTTTTGTAAGTTAAAAAAACATTAAAGAATGATTTAACTTGCTGTAATTAGGTTACTGGAAAATATTTTCAAGTATATTAGAGATTTGACTGCCGATCCTATTGCATTAGTCTTATAGTAATTAAAGAACCAGGTCTACTATCTTTTATATACGTTAGTGACAATGGTATAACATACATCAAAACAGTCAGAATGGCAAATCATAACATATAACATTGATACCCATATATTTGTTATGGAATATATAGTGGGATGGACCTGGAGCTTCTTACTCATTAAATTTGATATAGATAATTTCATTTATGTTTTACAAATGAAAATGTAACAATTCTCTTGACAAGTGGTGGGTTATGCTGCATGAATTATTGTGACATACACAAAATTCAAATAAATAAATTAAATAAAAGTTGTTTAAATTGTTTAAATAAATTTCTCACAACAAAAATTAAAAACATCATATAAATGTTTAAATTTTTGGCAATGTTAACTCATTTATAACCAACCAAATGCATATAATTCTATTAAAATATTTAAAAAAATCTTTCAAATGCGCAAATTATTTTTATAAAATAATAATTAATATTAAAATTATAGCCAACCAGTCTTGGTATATTTTTGATGTATAACGTGATATAGATCAGGGCTGCCCAAAGCACGAGCCGCTGGCGTGTTGTGGCCATGGGGTATTATATTTGCGGCCACGACATGTTTCTAATATACCACAATTAGGCAAATTTTGCTTTGTTATATTTTGGTAACATTACATTATTTTATTTTTGTGGTATCCCAAATAAATGAAATAAAATTATTTAAATAATATATGTATATATATATTACACTACACCTTAATTTACTTAATTGGTAAAAACTTTTATATATGCATATTTCTTTGTACAACTGGTAAAAAAAAACTCGTTTCAAGCTATAAGTCATTATAATAAAAATCAAACATTTTTCGTATGGCAATAAACGTATATATTTATTTTTATATTGGCCCGCGATCTTCTCCGGTCTGGACAGCCCTGATATAGATCCTTAATTACACAAAAGGGTTAACATACAATATAAAAATGATTAGGTCTTCTCTAAAGTTATTGGTCAGCTTTGTGTTTCATTACAGCAGTTGCATTTCCTGAACAATTAATAATCATTAGATTTATTTAAAAATATGATCAATAATATACATATGGGTTTTGTTTCCCTTAATTGCAGTGTTTAAATATATGACAGAATATTAAGTTTCATATTCTCATGAAATGTCCACTTAAATGAAATACCATATACTACATGTTATTATTTAGCAAGCTTCTGTTGTTCGGATAATATTTAAATACTGTTTGTTAAGATAAAACAGACTTAAAAGGTTAAATTTACATTCAAGATAAATTAAAAGCTATATATATACATATATAATTTCTTATATTAAATATTAATTCAAAATCAATTTATCACAGTCGAATAGCTGCGAAAGTAGAAAATTCATGAATTGGATCAATCAGTTCAGCATAGGTTTTTCCCTCATAAACAAAATCTTTGTTGGCAACTTTATAAACTGTAGTAAATCCCAGTTTTTCACCAACTTTCTGTGAAAATTTTGATGTAAAAGTTGACGATATTGCTTCTGGCTTAAGTGACCGAACATGAGCCGGTAACGAATTGACATCCGTTAATGTACAATTACCTAATTGTTTGAAAAAGTCAATTGAATATTTAGAAATTGTAGCTGCCAACCCTCTCTTTCCAAAGTTAATATGTGTGGAAAGGAATACGATTTCTACAACGCAATCGACATTCCATTCCTTGAACAGATCAAAAGTAGTTTCCATGGTACATAAATAATTGGAGACCCAACGCATTTCTTTACTTTTGAATGATTCCAAAACATCATCAAGACCAATATTTGCTGAAGGGCACTGTAATATATAACATAATATAACAAATCTATACAAATATTGACACATCTAAACCAATAAATAAATAAACTTACTATAAATTTATTAGCAGCCATTGCTACTACCTCCTTGGTTTCACGATGTATAGCGCAAAACGAAACACCATCCTTTAAAATTGCTTCAATAGAAATGAAAGAACATTATGTTAATTATTTCTACATACACATATATAAATATTATTAGTTGAATAAATAATAATTAACTCAATTTAAATAAAACTTACATTTTAGTAATATTTCCATTTCATCCATAGTCTGTTGACTTCCACACAAATTAGTTGCAATACTAACATTTTCATATTTCATGAATGAGTTTTGAAATAACTGCAATTAATAGAAATAATATGTTAGAACCAAAATAAATAATAATAATACTAATAATAATAATAACAATAATAGTCATATCAGATATAGATGTCAAAGCAATTACAAGCATAAAATTCTAAGATCTCCAGCTAGCCAACCTACAAATAGTTTGGTTTCTCAATTCCTTCTTTAATACTCGTATGTATTTTCTTACTATGTTAATTTGAATAATATTTCTTTCCAATTTCTTATTTCTAAGGACTTCATATTTGTAAATATGATGTTTACAACCGAACACTAAAAATTCTTTAATTTTCTATATATCAATGTAATAGACTAATCAATAACATTTTTCTGGACAAGAAGCTACTATTAGTCATTCTTAGTTCTTTTTTCTATTGAATGTCTTAACTAATAGTTGACTTCTAAAACTAGAATCAATAGCACGCAACGTCATTATCGGAATACAATCCAGATTAATCAGATTTTAACTAAATCTCAAGTCTAAATATTCTTACTGGACGCATCAGGTTGGTTCAACCATATCAAATGTTGGTTTTCATATCATTTTTACCACATGAGATAAAATTTATCTGACAAATTTATCAGGTCAATTTAACTAGTATATGGTTATTATTTTATTTTGATGTTCTACCTTAACACAATTCTTTAAATAATGAACCTCTTCATTAAATTTATTTCTCAAAGTAAAATAATGAAATGATCAAGAATATAGACGAACTGTCAAAATCTTCATTCCAGTTTGTATAAAATTATTTATTTATGAAGACAATGTAACAAAAATCAGAAAAAAAAAGAAAAAAAATTCGAATGAAACATCTTATATTGTATGCATGAAATGTGTAACTATATATAATCAGAACAGTTAATTGGTTTTAGTAAGTGTTTGATTTCCCATATAATTTGAATAGTTACAGGACTTATATACCAATCAGTCTATAATGTCAATAAAATAAAAAAATCTTTGAGTGAGAAAACAAATCTCTTCTAACACGCATTATTTATACAATCGCAGAACTAATTAATATTTAATCTTCTGAAATAAATTTTAGGCATTGAGTTCTAATTTATTTTGGCTTTTTATTTGCTCATTTTTGTGATACACAGTGCTTTTAATGTAGTTAATGCTTCAAATTTTATAAATACTATATAATTCTCATGAAGTTTAAATGAATTTAAGTATGTATTTATTGAATGTATTTGACTTCAGTAAGTCTAATTTTAATATAATTTTTAGTTATCTTTTCATCAATGTTCAAATTCGGAAACTGGTTTTGAATTGTCGTTGATATGTAAAGTATTTGATAGAACAACTATATTATGCCGTCATTAAAACTCTCAATTTAATATACATCGAAAAAATATATATGCTGAACAAAGTTATGCATTAAGAGACCTTTACACAGCATAGTCCGCTGCCATTACACATCAAATTGATGTTTAAAGGTCACTTTACATACAAACATAAACCGTAAGCTCTGACATATCGTGGTTGTCAGGTTTTTCTAATCAGGTCAATTTAACTTGTATGTAGTTAAAGCATATTTTTCTGATGTCTATAAAATAAAAAATCATTGAGTTAGAAAACAATCTAACAGTGTACCTTGTATCTTTTATAAATCCGAGTATATAAATAATCACAAGAGTATTATATTGCCAATAAATCTAGCTAGATGGTTCTAAAAAAATCTTTGAGTTAGTATGGCATATAAGTTCTTCTGGTAACAATATATGTATGTGTATTTGTTTCATAAAGCCTGAATAATCTTTAACTGTACTGAAGAATAATATCGCTTATTTCTGCTGTCTATAATAATATATTTATTTAGGAGCTAGTAAGCTGCTTATTCCTATTCCACAATTATATATATTTATTTTATTTTTTTCTATCTTATCTATAAAAAAGAACAAGTAGTTAGAACGTATTTTTACTGAGTTCTTGCTAATAAAATTTGTACGTGTTCATTAATATAATAAGACAAGCTCATTAAAAGTTTTGCTCATTTGGATAGATCATAATATAGATGATATCACCTCGATAAGTTTTATACGTCACATGGTTACTGCTTTATTTGTTTACACTGTTTTTAAAACTTAATTAAATTTACACTGTGAAGTACAACTTAATTAAATAATATGGACAGATAAGATAAGATATATATTGTGTATTAAATGTTATAACAAGATTTTGTAGCTCTTTTGTAATCAATTATAAAACCAAATAACTTTATAAAGTTTTTTCTACTGCTAAAACGTGATTAACAACTTATACACTATGGGCTAAGCAGAGAGGTTCCTTGAAACATCAATTATAGGATTAAGAACAAATAGGTGAACTACAAATTACTTTTAAAAGTATTTCCTAATTTTAGCATTACATTTCTGTTTTCAATATATTTGATAGTGTAACACTACAACCAAAAATATTTCATTGCAATTATACACCAATAGAATGACGTATTATTTTCTGTGATTCTCTTGTCAGATTTGGTTTTTTTTTTAGACGAAACTGTTTACATTGTCGGGTCTGAATTTAAAGTCAGCCTTAAGGATGCTAACATAAGTAAATGTACTTTATGATTTAAAAGTGAGACTTCGCCAGACAAGAACTATTACAGTTCCTTACAAAAACAAGCGAAAAGTATTCGCCGTGTTATATTCCGATATTTAAAACAAGCTTTCAAACTAACTCTCAAGCTTTTTTTTGTTTTTTAAGAACAGGGGTTGTTGTGACCACTATACGTGCTTGTGTTAAAATACCTGAAAGTAGACCGTAAATTAAGTTGAAACAATAATATTTGAAAAGACTCTAATAGCTTCATAAAAAAATATTTTGTATCTAAAAACTCTAACTCTTAATTCAACATGGAAAGAACAAAGCCGAATACGTCTTTGATAAGCCAATCCGCAAAAAGAAAACTCGCTGAAACATCGCCCGACATTTCGTTACAAGACATTTTAAAAGCAATCTAAAGCATGCGTCGAAAGCAGACATCGAAGACATGAAAACACAAATGCTGAATAAAATTGAAGAGTTGCAGCTCGAAAACCAGAGACTTAAGATGGAAGTTGAGCAGCTAAAAAAAGATAGAGACCTGGATCGAAAAAAACTCAACAGAATAGTTATAGAAAAAAAGAAGCGAAATTTGATAGTGAAAGGCATGGTAATAGAAGAATCGCCAAATAACGCATTCAAGAAAATATGCAATGATAAGTTGGGGCTTTACGATATATCAATTCAAAGTACGCGATTAATGTACGAAAAAAACAATAAAATGAACATCGTCGTAGGTCTTCATACCACCACTTTATCCACTTTATGCAGCACAGATATGGGGAATAGACGAATTAAACGAAGTAGAAATGCTTCAAAGATACTTCATAAAAAGAATATTCAAGTTACCACAAAATACGCCCAACTATATACAGCATTTAGAAACAGAATTGTCAACTTTATATATAGAGACGCTAAAACTACATTTTAAATATGTAAATCACGTCATGAATCTGAGTGACAATAGAATCCCTAAAATTCTGGCAAGTTTCCTCGCAAATACGAAGACAGGTTTTGTTGAAAAATGGCAATCACTGGCTAATAGGCATGATGAAGTATTGTTGCTCGAAAATATAGAAGTATGGCGTTTGTGGCAAAAAAATATATTGATAAAAATTATGGCGAATGAAAGAGCTAAATTTACATTGGCAGCAAGGGCAAGTGATTATAGACATGCTTACAAAAGGCTGGAATATGAATTACGCGATCGGAATTATTTTAAGGATGATTATACTATTTGAACTATCAGCCAGATTTTTAAAACTCGGGGCGAACTCCTTAAATAAAATTATAGACCATATGTGCAAGTAAATTCAACACATTGTTCATTGTGTAATTTAGACCAGCCAGAGGACATAATACACTTTATTGGATTATGTCCAATTTTGAAAGAAATGCGCTTCAAATTCTATAGGAAGCACACTCTTACAGAAGAGGAAATAATAGAGGCTTTAAACGGGGAAAACTGGACCGCACTCTCTGGCTATGTTAAAGATGCAATTAATTACAGACATAGAATAATAAATGAAGATTGTTAGTTTTAAATAAAATAGAATAAGAACAAGAAAAATATTTAATTCTACTTTAATATACTGTAAAATATATTTTAATTAGCTTTAGAACACTTCATTATCAGTTAACTAGTCTGTTGGCAGACGGCCTTTAGTTCAATAAGTAACAATATTTTAATGTGTAAATTTTTTGTAATTTATTTATTAATAACATAAATTAACGTGTAAGATTAGTTTTAAGATTAAAATATTATATTGTGTTTGAACTAAAATAAAAAAATAATAAAAAAATACTACTACTACTACTTCTATATAACATAGCGAAGCGAAATATTTGTTAGGCCGAGCTGTTTTTTTCTTTCACCTCTTAATGAGATAAATGTAGCAAACAATGTGCATCCCATAAAAATGTTCAGATTACAATGAAATTGTGAGAAATTATAAAGACGATTTACTGTTCAGATGTAGCATTAAGATTTCATCAAATATTAAATATTAAATATTACAAATTAATATTAATGTTATTAATATTAACATTAAATATTAAACAACAATAGCAGAAAACGATTTATAATGGGAATAAATACCTCACGTACTAAGGCAACGCTGAACGAAAATATGCTGTAAAAGAACAAGAAACTTACCTAGATTTAATATGGAGTAGTGCTAACTTCCTTGAATCATAACAGATTATAGTTTGATTTATATATAAAGAATATGATGCTTATGCTTATGAATATGATGGAATATAATAAAGCTTTAAATTTATAATGTGCTAAGTTTATATGAGCTCCCATAAATACCATTTCTTTTAAATCGCTTTCAGATTATAAAAAGCAGTTTAACATTTATTTGAATAAGAAATAATAGGCATTGCGTTAGAATTAGTTTATAGATTCAAGATACCAGCTTTTAACTGATAATAAGTTTAAAAGTTCTTTAAATGTTTGTACCAACACCTCGTTATCGAATCTTAGAATGGTTACAGGCTTCTCGAGGAGGTATGCAGATCTGAGGTCAGTTATTGCTTAGTGATAAACAATTATCCAGTCAAGACGTAAAGAGGGGGTTTGAATAAGCCTCGCAGTTAAGAGAGAGTAAAAGTGCTTAAGTGTACTGACTGTGTAGCAATGCTTTAAATATGTATAAAGAATTCTCTCTAAAGAAGTGACAAAACAAACACTTACATGAACATCAATTGATGGGCAAGATAATAACTTAGAAGAAATAGTTTGATGTTTTAATAATGGATCTTATAATACCCAATATCAGGAAATATCGAGAAAAATGGAATGCATATGACCATCAAGGACTGTAACACTAAAAAAGAAACTGCGGACTACGTTGATCTCGCAGAGATTCCTGTAGACAGTACAATGGCAGTACAGAGAAAACTTTTCAACCCTTTTTCTATTACTGTTCTATTACTGTTACACACAAATAGTTAAATTGTCAGGAGATTCATAATTTAAAGAATCGCTTGAACTCAATACAGTTGACTTACTAAAACGTATTCCAATAGGATTCAGTTCTATTTGAGTCTGAATTATTTAGAAATTACCATTGTAATTATAGTAAAATTTTGAATATCAGCATCAAATACATTGCACTAATATTAAAATAACATTACCAATGTATCAACTACTCAAGAATGTATCAATACTCACATTTAATGTTTTATCATAAAGGTCCTCTGTGATTCTCACAATTTCCAATTCGCCTGAAATATTGGAAAATTAAGTACTTGTTTTCTTCAGATATGTATAGAGCACTAGAACATTTTTTACCATCACAAATGATAATTCCACCGTTGACACTCATTTCAAACAAGAAATTGTTTTTAATTTTAAAAGTTTTTTATCTCTGAAAGTCAAATAAAACAATTTTGTGTGCAAATCAGCAGACAACTTAGTCCAATTCTTGTCTTTCCAAAATATGAATCCCAACTAAACTTTATTAAAATAAATTGAACAAAATTGTTGATAAAATTTTGCTTTGAGAGCTTTGAATTTCATTTTAGCACTTGGAAAGTATATTGATAATACGGTAATTTGCCGGTCTGTTTATAGATAAAAACCATCATCACATATATACACACATGCCTTACATATATCAGTGAAAATGATGACAGTTCACTATTTTAATAAAACTTAATGAAATATAATTCATACGCATGTTGTTTTTGAAAAAAATATTCTTTTTCAAAATTTCGTGTCCATACATAAAATTTTTTTAAACAGAATAAACAGTGCCATAGTTGAAGAAATATAGCTTTTCCCAAAAGGGTGCGATACTCGTATGTTAATGATTATTTAATAATAATAAAATTTGATACTTTATGTTTGTTAGACCATATGTAACTACTTAGTGCAAAAATAGTTAATACCTTTCCCGATTTCTGATACCAATTTTACCGTGAATTCAAAACTTTATTTCGACTATCATCTTACACTAAACAAACCAAAAGTTTCATCAGTATAACCAGAAAGCGGAGCAAATGAGTGGGGCTCCAAAGAATAATAAAATTATTTTTGTCAATTAATTTAAGAATATAAAATAAGATATTAAAATATTCCCTATGAGAACTAAACAACAACAAAAATGCTTAATATTAATTTTAAGGCCATGTGCGAGTTCAAGTAAATTTATGGTCATTTAAGGGAAATAGTAAATTTTGTCAGCAAGGCAGTATTTACTAGAATTTAGAGTAGGTAAATTAGGTGTTACCATTGTGGAAATTTTATAAGATGTTTAGTAAATAAATAAATAAATAAATTTATAAACTTTTAACCAAAAATAATAAATAAGTACAATAAACAAATGAATAAATATTTACATAAGTGTAGTACAAAAAATTCCTGGAAAATTTCAATTTACTTTACCTCAATTTACTCGAACTCGCACACGGCCTAAATCGTAAATGTGTTTTTACTTGTTGCTCATTATTGCGGATTCTTTTTTTTTATTATAAAATACTGCTTCAGACACAATTCTGTAGAAGGAAGCATCACCCATATTTTCCCTTTTAGCTACACCCATGAAAAATACATAATTGTTACGTATATAATAATAAACAAGTGACGACGCTTTATACAGACAGAGTGAACGGAAGATGGTTCAAGACATTTACAGCAAGTGGTTTAAATTGTATTGATATGTAAACTCCAATCCTGCAAGCTATCTATTTCAGAATCATAAAAAAGTAAAACCGTTTTTCGAAAATACTGAGAAAATCGCAGTAAGAGACAGTTTCGTCCTCGATCTCTACACCGAACTTGAGCTCTAATACAAAAATATTGTACATCTATTGAAATATTTTAAAATACTTCCACTAGAAGTTCCTCAAGCTTCATGAACTTTTTAATTCAAAAAGATACCGTAAACAAATAGATGATTTTGAAAAATCGCTTAAGAAAAAAAAAATCGGCAGTATGCAACATGTGTAACATGTGCTTCCAGTAGCGGCATAAGGAAGAGTGCTTTGAAGTGACGGCTTAGGGCTACAGAAATATCAAGTCGCCAGAAACAGATTTTGAGAAGTTCCTTAAGAAAAAAAAAGGTCAATCTGCAAAAACTAACATATGGTTTCCGTTAAGGAAGAGTGCGTTGAAGCGACGGCTCAGGACGACAGATAAGACAGGGCGCCAGCACCAATTTCAAAATAGCTTTTTTTTAAGTTGATCTTAATTGCTATCAAACTATATATAAGGGTTATATAATACCTTTTGTATTATACTATACGTATATTTTGTAAGCAGTAAACTTTAAGGTTGTGATATATTAGATCGTATTGACCAGTGCGCTGTAACCAGCGGCGCTGATATAAAGTAGTTTTCATGATTATTTATAATCATATCACTTTTCTCATTTCTTACTCTTGTTTTTTAGTAATCTTGATAATATTTAGAGAAGAGAAGAGCTTTCTCATACACTCTGTATTTAAGTCAGTATTGAACGTTTTCTACTCTATTTAACTTGAAGGGTTTATTTGTGAAAATGGGCATTTCCCGCTACATCACATTTTTTAAAAAAAAATATATAGAAATATTTGTAAAATTACTCATACGCCCGGGTATTTTCTTGAAAAAACTAGAAAGTTTTTTTCTGTAGGAAAATAAGAACGAAATATTCCTCTGAAAAAATATTCTTAAGATAATATCAAAAATTATTAGGCCTGATATAAAAAAGTCGGTTTAATTTTTATAGTATTTTTCGTTATAGTCTTATCCGTCCTACAACCATCTGCGGTGTCTCCTCCGTTAATATATTCTACAAGATACATTAAATAGATTTAAAATAGAAATTTTAATAAATATAAAAAGGAGTCAATCAATCAAATAATTATGTCATATTTAGTCTCAAAAATAAAATCGTTCCAATGTTTTTTAACTACATACATTTATTAATTCAATTTCTAAGAATATTAACATAAATTCAATAGTTTAGATTAGAAGTACTACATGGTGAGAATTTTTATGCATAGGATTTATGCGTTGATCGAAAGTTTTTCCATTGAAAATAAATTCGGTATAAGGATTAGTACTCAGAATCTGAAAATCATTTAGTTTACCAATTTTTTGTGAGAATAATGAAGTAAAAATGGCTGTAACAGCTTTTGGACGCTTTGTGCGTAGATCTGGATTTATATCATCTAAACCAATTCCTTGGGAGAGTTCACGTGTCAATTCTATTGTATATTTTGTAACCATATTCCCAAATCCATTTCGTTCATAGTCAGGCAATGTCGCCAGAAACATAAGTTCACATAGACTATCGATTTTGAACATGCTAAACACATCGACTTTTCCATCGACCTCTATCATGAAATCCATTAAGGCTTGAGCCTGTATACTGTGAGTACTTTCATTGCGAAATTTTATAAAAAATGGCTCCTCATTATTATCTGGTAAGAACTAGCAAAGATAATTAAAGTACTTGATTAAATATGTCTTTATTTAATGTGGTTTTACTTACTTGTATTTTATTAAATGCAACTGATACAATTTTTCCACTCGTAGCCTCAACTACCACTAATGAAACTCCATCTTCTGCTGTGATGCGACAAAGTTCACGTAATTCCAAACGGGATTGCCGATTTTCTGGTAAATTTATTTCACAACCATTACAAACAGATTCATTTAAAAAGAATGAGGCATCAAGTATCTGAGAAAATATCACAAAATATATAGTTGGAAATATAAGCAGATTGAACTTCAAATAATATGTATACACTCTAACATAAACAATTTATTAAAAGTAACATTCAAAAGCATACTTAGTGATAAAATAGTTTATTTTGTTCTGACTTTAAAAATTAAAATTAAATAAAAATGATAAACTTGTGTTATTATGACGATAGTGATGATAATAATACTGGTTTATTAGTTAGGCTCAGGCTTTTATGTGCTGCGACCAGCTTGATCTATTATGCACCCCTTTGTAATTAGACATTTAGTATTTCCAGGAATCGAACCAGCTCCTTCGGAAAGAGTTTTTGAAGGATTTCGTCCTCTAATTGGTATGCATCTAAAATTTTATTTCTTCTCTGGCCAAGTGTAGCACAGTTGGTGATCAGATGTTCCATAGATCTTCATCATAACAAAATCCGCAAATATTTGTGTCGGATATACCTATTTTGTGTACCTTCTGCTCAAAAAGTACTTGGATTTTGTAAATAAAACACACAAATTTAAATTTTATTCCAAATTTATTTTTTCTCCTTCTAAATATGCTCCTTCTGAAGCGATACACATATGCCAACGCTTAACCCAATCTTCCATACACTTTTCGTAGGCCCGTGAAGGTATGGCTTTTAGTTCCTTCAGCGAATTCTCTTTTACCGATTCAATCGACTCAAAACGCTTACCACGGAGGTGCAATTTGAGTTTCGGGAACAGGAAAAAGTCGCACGGATCCAGATCTGGCGAATATGGTGCCTGAGCGTGACAGTGGTGCCGTGTTTGGTCAAAAAATCGCGTACAACAATAATTTTCCATAGTAAAAATCGCTAAATACACTTGAGGTAATCTCACATTAACAGCTGCTGTAAACAAACTAATTGACAGATGGCCAATATAACAAAAAAAAAATTTTTTTGAAAAAAGTCAATTACTTAAGGAGTAGTTAACAAACAACAAAATCCTTTTTGAGCAGAAGATATGTTATGATGATAAATCAGCAGTTATATTATGCTATTGTCTATGATGAGTAGTTATTATTATCGTTGGACTTTTGAACTTAAAAAAGACGAAATTATCTTTCTGCTCAGATTTTTATTCAAAATCTATTCACATTAAAAGGCAATTATGCCTTTAAATAATAAGTGTACAGAATAAACTAAATTTTTCTGTTAAAAATATATTATATATTAAATTTCTTTAAATATATCCAAATAGAAAAATTTAAGTGAATAAAATTTAAGCATTCGTGAGTGCATTCAATTTATGACGTCCGAATATCTGGAGCTATGAACAAAAAATTTCAAACAATTTTAGAATGAGGCAAATACTCAAAAATACAAAATATATGATATGAAAAATTAATATATACGTATGGGCAACTAATTTACTATGCAGTGACGACTACTTACATGCAGTAACGACTACTTACATGCAGTGACGACTACTTACATGCAGTGACGACTGCTCTAAGGTGCGGAGGTGTGCGGCCCACACCCTAATATAATTTGCAAATTGTCAAATAATATATATAAATTTATTAAATATCTTTACATCGAGAATTCATATTATTACATTTTCATATATATATTTTTAAAGATCAAAGTTTTAGCAAAAACAATTAAATATAATTGTCTATGAAAACTCGATTAATTCGCTTCTCTTAGCTATTATAGTCGTTAGTTGTGCTCATAAGTTTGCAGCTCACACCGCAAAACATTTCTATCATATTTCGTCTTTCCTCTTTAAGCAATTGCATTCATAAATTTCTGTCATAAGTGTGCACAAAAGTAGAATGAACAAAATAATGTGCTTAATATATGAAAAATAGAGATTGGGTATTGTATGGGAGTACCTGGTAGCACATTTATGCGTTGCAAGTGTGTTGCATTGTGTTCTCAATATATATATATAACTGACTAAATTGCATGAATTCCGATATGTTACACACAAAAGACAAAAAACAAACAAACAAAAACTAATTTCTAATCGTGGTTACATTTTTTCTTAACAGTCAATTTACTATATATAATGCATATCGTCTTTATAATGGAACTGTGATTTTCTTTTATTAAGTAATTTTATAGCTTAATTGTATTTTCAATAATGCTATGAAATTACAGTACAGTTAATATAAAAAGCCTTTATCGTGATTATTAAATTAGTTATACTTATCTACATGCAATTCTAGTTTAATGCAATTAGCCAAACATGAACCTTACTTTAAAGTTACGTATTTAAACAATTAATTTATTAATACTTACATTTAAAGCTTCCTCTAATTTATCTTGTGTTAAAGATCTTATCTCGAATTTATCTAAAAATATAAAAACCTCATTATTCGATTTAAATTTATAATTGTATATTAAATATAATAAATTCTTAAACCAATACGTTTTTAAACATTTACTTTAATTTAAAATAAACGTACTTACCATTATTAACTTTAGCCCAAAGTCTTCCGTTATTAGGTCTCATAGTTCTAAACTGAAAAAAGAATCAGATATAGCAATTAAATGTTTTTAATATAAATCTTTGAGCACAGTTGCTAAGTCGTTCATTCACCAATAAACATCAAACAGAACTATTTCACATAAATATTTTGGATTCTAAAATCTCAAAATTTTTCCCCACATTCGTATTATTTATTGCTATGTTTATGAAAGAGCGCTAGAAAATGCTAGACATAAGATACTCTCACTGATTAGCAACATTTTGAGATACCTGCTATACACTTTACAATTTAATCAATTAAGATTTTGTTATCATCGCTTTCACATAATACTCTATAGTCAGCCGTGCCGCTGATAATAACAAAAAGTTTCTCTGATTTCGATAATAAAGATTCAATGTAAGAAAAAATATAAAAAAATAATATATATAATAATTATGTGAAAGGTACTGCCCAATATTATATTAGTTAATCGTTCGAACTGAGCTTATTGCTGTTCTCTAAATTATATAATATGCAAAAGGGTGGAATCAAGTTAAGTATTTAGAATAAGTTGGGAAAATTAGAATACATTGCTTTCATTTACCATATTTGCGTTCATTTAGTAACGTGAGACTTAAAGTCAACCTTTTCAAATATAAATCTATGAGAAGTAAATTGCACATCTGTAAAAATAAAAGATATTTTGAGAAAATTAACGTTTTGGCAATATCGTATATCGCTATAATTCAGCTTTTAAAAGAGCTGTAAAAGTTTATCATTTGCATTTTATATTTTTATAATTTCTTTTTATAAATCGATATTATTAAATATATTCAAAACTATATTCAACATTTAAATATTAACAATTTTTTCAATGTATTCAGTATTTAGTTTAAAAGAATGAACTTTCCATTAAATTATATTGAAAGTGTTTAGACGTATCTGGTAAATCGATCAAGTAATAAAATAATTTCTCGGCAGTGTTCAAATATTGAACTGCGAAAACAGCAGATTTTTGTTTATTTCTATTTTAGTTTTTTAACAGTCTTTTTCGTTTACCTTAGCATATGATCGGATGTTTGTCGGTATCCATACAAAATTTATTCTAGTTTAAATCGTTGAAGTGTAAAATATTTTATGCTTATTAAGAAAACATTTTTAAAACAAAAATCGATATACCTTATTTTTAATAAATAATTGACAAAACAAATGTGCTATAAATTATAAATAAGAAAAACCAGTTTACAATTACATATTTTAAATTAAAAAATTATTTTATTATTAAAAATGCTTAACATGAAAATTAAAACATAATCCCTAACAATATTTTATATATATTGAATATATTTAACCTGTAGATTAGTGCACGAATGGCGCCTCTTTGAGAGAGCGTGACTTCAACTCGTAGATACAATCAAAAAATACAAACAGATTGTCAACAATATTTTAATATTGAAAATAGAATCGATTTTCAAATTTACTAATTTAAGGATAGTACTTTTATACAGACATTTTATTATAAATGTTTGGTAAATAACACATTAAAAGTAATCATTTTAATTGCAAAAGAAACGAAAAATCAAATTTAAAACAAATTTATTATAAAAAACAAATATGTACGCTGATGTATAATTTAATACAATTTAACTTAATAATATTTTTCTATAATCAAATACTAAAAAATAATTAATAATGGCAAACGTATAAAGAAACATGGATACAGCCATATAATAAACATTTTTTTTCTTATTTCTATATTGCATTGGATAATATAAATGTAGCATGAAATAGATGCATACTAATTTCCCCAGTGTTTACACTCCGACGATTATTTTATACTTCTTGTGTGGTGAAAGGAATATTGACGTTAGATGTCGTGTTAATCGCGTATTACACATTTTTTGTCAAACTTTTTATTATCGCTCTCTATTACACATCAAAACAGTCGTCATCATGAAATTTTGCATGTGAGTCAACAAAAATCCGATTGTATATAAAAAATACAAGCAAGTTTGAGGAAAAAAATAATAATTATAACAATAATTAATGATCTACATATTTTATAATATTAAATATTTGATTCTCAGCTTTCCTTTTTTTCTAGTAAATTTTAATTTCGTTAAAATCGCTGATTGACGTTTGATAATTGTGACTAAACACAATATTTTTTCTTGCAAATTAAATCTTAATAAGGATTAAAATCATTTTAAATGTTAATATGTATAATTAAATTTTTTTTGTAATTGCTCAGAACAATTTCAAATTTTTTTGATCACTTACCTATGTGACTTCAGTGTTATATTTGACGTTTATTTATATATTTTATTATAATATAAAATGTTGAAATAAATACATATAATGTAATATTTATAGTAAATAGTAAATGCATATAACACATTTATAGTAAAAACATTATGTTTAACAAATATTCTCTCACTTCGGTAGAATGCAGCTAATTTAAATTATTGATATCTTTTAACTAATATCGCGCCTTGCCCTGATTGTGTTTTAAGTAGTTAGCGGAAACGTCAAAGTAAAATACATTCGTGTAAATTGAAGCATAAAAATTATTTGACAACTCTTATTAAACTCGTCATTATTAAAAACAACAACAAATGTAAACAATGAATGTCAGTGTCAAATGTTAAAAATATTCTGATAATATCATTAGTTAGGAACATGAAATTATAAAATGGTTTCTAAAAGAGAAACTTAATATAAAAAAACATAATTTAAACGAATACAATAATATATGTAAGGAGAAGATTATATTCTCTATTATATTAAAGGTCTACAAACAATTAATAGATGTAATAAATTGTAAAGCATCACAAACCTTAATTTGTACCAAGAACGTTTAATAACTTCATCTATTAAGAATTCATACGAAAAGTTGCCTTGGTTACCTCAGTCGTATTTTGCTGTACACAAAAAAACAACCCAACTAAAAAAATTTAAGAACATGTTGAAATTAATAAGAATGCTCGTCGATTGGTTGCTGCCGGTTTTCTTCAGTTTCATTAGACCTTTGATCAAATGGTTTCTACGATCATTCACGCGTCTATCCGAAATACAAAGAATCGTTTACGGTGCACCAGCTGGAGCTGTGCGCACTATACGCGTTGAAAACTGCTTACAGCAATCAAGAAACCAACTTATTCAAGAGACAATAAACGAATTTAATACTATAGTTGAAAATTGCAGTGATGAGGAATTTGAACAAATGCCTGCTAGAATGGTTAGTATTGTTAGCAGAACGAAGAATATTAAACCATCAAGTCATCCTGATTTTGGTCACCTACTCGGTAGATGTGTAGAACAAATTTGGAGTTATAGACGATTAGTGTACACAGTAGATCACTTACGCGCTATACCTTATGATTCGAACAATTTGCAACATGAAGAAATGCTACTTGAATTATGGAACTATTTAATGCCAAATGAACCACTCACAGGTAGAATATCCAAACAATGGCAAGATATTGGATTTCAAGTGAGAATGATTAAATTTATTATTATAAAAATATCTTAATTTATATTGAAAATATCTTCAATTGCAGGGTGATGATCCAAAAACAGACTTTCGTGGTATGGGCATACTTGGTTTAGAAAATCTTTTATATTTAGCGAGGGAATATAATAATACAGCACGGCATATTTTGTCGCATTCAATGCACCCAACAAGTGGTTACACATTTGCTATAGTTGGGATTAATCTTACTTATATGGCTTTTAATTTACTTAAGGATGAAGAGGCCAAAACACATTTTTACAACAATGCTGAGTCTTTTAAACAACCTTGCTCACTAGAACATTTTAATAAATTCTATTCTTATTTATTTTTTGAATTTGATCATTACTGGATAGATTCTAATCCAACTAACATTATGGATTTTCGTTCAATATTTCAGTCATTTGAAGTTATAATTATGGAAGCTCTCCATGATAAAAATTGCTTATTTAAAAGCAATTTAATTGTTGAGGATATATAAAAATATTAAGATATATAAGGGTATAAATATAATTAGTAATTTATGCGATAAGAGGTTACTTCGAATTTAAATATATTTTGAATAAATTTGATATTTTTCTAATAGGGGCATAAATAAATTATTGTATACTTAAGTCTTTTATGACAATGAGTTTTAATAGGACCATATTTATTATTTTATACTGTTTTAATCATAAAATCTTACTTTACACATAATTATTTTTTAACAGTTTAAATACGTACTGTTCTTTAAATTTTGCAAAAAAAAAAACTATCATTTGTTGAAATATTTATGGTAAGCAGTTTATTATAAATATCCTTACACTTTGTAGACTGTAATTTATTTAATAACTATGATGTGAAAAATTATTGTCTGAAAATTATATATTTTATGACATTATAATTTATTTTTTATTTTATCCTAACTCAAAATATACGAATACATTATAATATACATTTACGACTTCCAATTATTATATATTTTTAATATTTGGTAATAAAAAAAAAACAATTAGTTTTTATATTAATATAAAGTTTAGCTAAATAAAAACTATTAGGTTTTACACATATATATAAAAACCTTGGCTTATATGAAAATTATTAGTTTTTATATTAGGTTAGTTTCTAGCTGATGAATAGACACGTTATAGACCAGTTTGTAAAATCCGTACTATCAAACCACCGGCGATGACCTTATATTTCATGAAGTGTTTAGATTTCACATACAAAAAAATTTTATTTAAATATATATATATATATATATATATGTACAAGAATATAATACATACATATATATTAATATCATATGTGTATTGTATATAATATATATAAATATATATAATTTATATAATATCATATATAAATATTATTAAATGGGAATGAGATTCTCTTAATTCATTCTGATGGTTTATTGAATATATTCAAAACTCCTATATTTGTTATAAATACTGTCTCAGAAATGGAACTTGAAACAGTTGCCTAGTACAAATCTACATAGCGAAGATTTCTAGTACTTGATCAAACATTAAGGTTCATTGGTAATTAGAAAACTGGAATTCATGTGCCATTACCATTACCCCTATGCCATTCGATTTACTCAACGCTGATAGCTTGATAATTTATATTACTAATTAGATGGTAATAAAAAATACTATAAGTTAATGTTCTTTATTCATACGTTGCTTATACCTACAGCGTTGTTTCTTTACCACCACTCCGATACATGTAACTTCTTTATCTGTACACACATGAACATTTACTGAATACCTCCAACTTTTATAGAAGCAGACGCGTTTATTCTGCAAGTAAACCTGAAGTCCGATCATTATCTGATGGGCAATCACCTAATTTCTTCGTCAGTCTGCAAGAACTGTCTTTACTAAATTGAGGCCAAGATAAAGATACTAAAAAGTTATTTATGACTTATAAATATGTCTGTCACTAATGTGTTCTCTAACTGCAGCTCTACTCCATATTATGCCATATATTTGTTGTCGTGCCCAAATGCACACTACTCTATTTATGGCAACGACAATTGAGATAGTAATTTTCAAAAATACTCTTATTCTTCAACATATCGCTCGACCTATGCCATCATTTGATAATGGCAGAGTGTCATCAAAGAAAATTAGACTTCTACTCACAGTTTTCTACAAGTTTTTGTCCTTAAAGAATAATAAATTTTTTGGCGAAAAACATACTGCTTTCTGTTTAGTCTACGCAATTTTTAAAGATTACAGTATTTTTCTCCAGTAAAAACCTAAATTCGTATTGTATACTTACCTCTATAGGTATTATTAATTGATCAAATTATATGTACCAACCATTTAAATTTGCGATTTAAATTTGTTTTTATTCGTAACTAGATTAGCAGAGTTTTTGAATGCTTAATTTTATATTTACGTAAATATATTGTATGTTTATATGTGCTTAAAATGTATTTATGTTGTAATGCATACGCATATGTTACGCACAATAAATGCTGAGAAATTTGTATATATTGTTGTATATTATTAAGGTATTTAAGTGATTAATTATATATATATATATATATATATATGCAGTGACTTCAAATTATTAAAAAAAGAAATGCTTTCGTTTTTTATACATAAGAAGTAATTAACATTAAAAACAATTTAACGTATACATTTTATATTATTAAATTGTTAATTAAATTAAACATAAGATATTGCGGCTTTTCATCAAATTAAATTATCAAATAAATATCAGTACATATTAAAATTATTAAAAAATAGTAATTAAAATTATCAAAAACAATAATACAAATAGGTAGTAATAAAATCACAATAATTCACTTTAGGAATGATTAAGTAAAAAGCATGATTTATATATATACATGTATATATATAAAACACAAGCAAATGCTAAATTTCAAATGCAAATACAAAGACAATTATAATTATGTCAGTCAGTTACGAGAGATGATACCAAATTTAGTGCGCATACGTATTCAAATATCATCATTTTTGTTTAATTTATAGTATATCAAATAAATTCAATTACTAATATATATCTATGCCTGGTATATAAAATATTATTTGTTAACAAAACTAGCAATTCTTTCGATTTTAAAATTAATTTTATAAAATAAACTTTGAAATTCATGATCATCATTATCATGTTGCTTATTTATTCTTTATATATATTAAACTAAATATTATGCACTGCATTTACCTTTTATTTAAAAATATTTTCTTTATGCAATATAGTAAAAATCGGTCAAATGGTAAAAAAATGCATTTCTAACGATAGAACTTAACCTCCGCTTCTACACAGTCTTTCATTAATTCATCTAATTCGTCTAAATCATTAGAAGTATCATGATCTACAAGATATTTAGTGACTTCACTAATGCAAGAAGTTTCTAGATTCCTAAGATCATCCACTGCAGTAGGTTTACGCTGTGCGTGTAAATAATGCAATAAAGTGACATCTCTATCAGCAGAGACTTTAGTTAAAGGTGAAATTTTTGGATTTGGGGCAAAGACAAAGGGCTTAAATACAGATTGATTAACATTTGGTGTACAAGTGAACCAATGAGTGGATATGCCTTTTGAAGTCAGCAACGAAACATTAGATGCGAGGGAAGTATCTGCACTTTTAGCCGCACGTAAAGTTTCGAACATATTTAACAATTCGAAAGATCCATCACTGGATGGTTCATTTTCGTCCCATGTTACTTCTGAAGAGGCATCAAAAACTGCAGCAAAATTTAATTCACCCTACAAATATAATTTTTAAATAACACAAGCTTATATAATATCCAATAAATGTACTTACTTCGCCATTCCACACACCTAATGTTTTTAAAGCATCATTTAATTCTGCACTGGATTTATTTATTGTTGTAGTAACGGCTAAGCTTTTACTACTTATACGATAAAATGTTGTTATATGTTGTGCTGCCCATAATTTGACAGCGCAACTCACTACCCAAACGTTTACGGGATCACATATTACAAAATTCATCTTTGCATCGTTAGAAGCATGATTTTCCACTAATGAGCCAATTCGTTCAACTGCTTCGCCTGCATCTTTTGACGTAGCTAACGCATACCTAAATTAAAAACAAAATAATTAATAATTTATAAAACTTATTTATGCATTTTAAAGTGACAGCACAATTGATACCTATTTCTTTCTTATCGATGATTTAACAGGTCATGAGAATTGCCTTGATAATTGTTTGACCATCAAAGTGGTCAAAAGTAAGACATGACTTACCATAGCATCAATATTTATGCTAAAATTTTTAAAATAACTGACTGGAGGTAATATGAAGAGCACACATGACACACTACACGTACGGCATAACCCGTCTATAATGAGAAAGTAACAGAGCAACTGATCAGCCTTGCTCGCACCTCACTGTACACTACAAATGAGTTACTAACGGGAAAATATCTTATAGTCAGGCGTTAGGAAATACTTTTACCAACCTCTTGTCTTAGAAAGTCATAGAAGGAATAGGAAAATGTAAATCATGTACTCTACCATTGTCACGTCACATACGCGCCAAAAGACAGTTACGCACCTTAGGGTATTAATTTATATATGTTACATAGTTTTATTTTTTTTATTATTAATACTCAAAATGAATTAATTTAATAGTATAGAATAGGAAAATTAAGTAGAACAATAGGAGCCAGAATGGATGAAAATGTTGAATCTAATCTGAGAGCAAATGAAAAAATCTTGCTATTATAATTTATTAGCGATAATGTAGACATAAATGAATAGCGGGTAAATTTTTGTATGCTCTTGAATATAAAAACATATGGACGAATATAACAGTGAATATAACTGTTAAGCATATTGCGAATTCGTGCACAAGACAGTGTTATATATAGATTATATAATGAATATGAGGTCCTAAACAAATATATACTTTCAAGTATAATTATTTCAATACATGTATATTTCCTATGGAACAGTATTGGTCAACTTATATTGCAATCAAAAGAAATCTAAGTAGAAGAGGTTATATGTGTTAACTAATACTGTAGCTGAAAAAGGTATGTTTACAATGCAATAACTTATATAAGTTAATATTAGTGAAAAATTTTTATTTAATTTGTTTTCACCTAACAACATCCGTAGATAGTAAATTCCCACTGTTTTTTTCTGGTTCATTTGTGGTCCACGTCACTGCCACACACACACTACGCTCATTTGCACCTATGTCTCCACCCCAAATGTTCGTACTTGGTCGTTGTAAAATTAATCGTAATGTTTCACTACTAACTTCTGGCGTTGCTCCACCGTCAGACTAAAATATTTCATTTTAATACATTGATTTAAAAAAACTTGAAATTAATGCCTTACGCTTCCTTCTACAGCTGTACTCGCTTCGTAATATTGTACCTCGCACGACGCAGCATCACCCGATGATAAAGCATTTTCAAAATTACGTCCCAAAACTGTAGTCCCTTCCTCACAATATGGTGGTACGACAACAAAGCAGTCACTAGATGAGCTCATCTTTTACGATTTATAGAAAATGTCTGTTTTCTTTCTCCTTTCGTATGTTTTAAAAGCCGCAGACAATGGTAATTGATTTTTCCAGCTGTTCTGGATTTAATAAATTTTTCACAAATTACGCGTCTCACGAAAACAATTGTTCCTTTTCAAATAAATTATTTTGTATTTTTAATAAACACAGTTCAATAAATTGATTATTTTTATTTTAATTTTTATTAATCTACAATACAATTTGAGACACTCGCATACAAGAAAGCTCTTCTCTATAAATCCGCAATTGAAACGAGACTAAGGAGAAAGAGAAAAAGTAATATTTTCCTTTTTAACGAACGAAGTATTTTCATTTTTTTTGTCGATTGCTTCGATAAATATTTTGCTTGTTTAAACGATTGCGCTGAGTGTTATCGTACCTCTGCCAAAAATGATCAGTTTGAAAAAATGTTTTTTTAATTCTTTCATATGCATTATATAATTATTAGTAGTGAAGTTTTTAATTAAATTTAATTAATTATTTTAATTAAAATTAAAGCAAATTAAAATGGAAATATATTCTTGAAGGTATACGATATGATATCATACCGGCATATCGAATATGTTGCAGTTGTTGTTGTTATTTTTTGCGATTTCTCAAGTTGCTGACCGATTGTTGCAGTTGTTCGTTGATTTGTATTTATTGTTGTAATGTATGATTTTGCACCGCAGTGCGTATTAAAGTAAATATCAATTTAGGCTGGAAATTAAATTAATGTTTTAAATAATTTGTATCAATTCAACAAATAATTGTAACAATTATAAAAGTCTATGAAAATATAAGATAAAAAAAAAATTCTGCTAATAATATTATATTCTTTTTTGTAACCAAAAATATTATATAATTTGTTTAAACGTAATAATTGGTAAATTTAAATATAATACAAAATTATAATTTTTAATATTTATTATTTATAATTAAACAAATTATATTTTATCTTTGATAGTCATCTTCAGGGAAACTAACAAAATATACAAATTATAGCGGAAAATATAAAGAAAATCATACAATATATATAATAATAATAATAACAACAAAAACCAACAACGCAAAAAGAGAATAAAAATTATAAAATACATACAGTCACCGTCTGATTGGTGTTTATTGACAATACAATGAATAAAATGGATTACCTTAATATTTTAGAAGTCAATTTACCACCTAGTGTTTAAAAAGCGCTGCTGGATTCTTTAACATACCGCTTAAATTGTTCAAGAATGACTAATGTATCATACTGCAAAACAACTGGACCATCCCCCACAATTAGCGGACCTCATTGAACATTAATGGGAACATCTGAACAGGCAAATTGGTAAAAGGGACATCACTAGCATAGACTCTCTGAAATCTGTGTTGTTGCATTAAATCTGTATTGTTGTTTTTAGCATTAATTTTTAACCGTTGTTCTTTTTCAATTTGAAGCTGAATTCTTATAAAATATTTTCGCAAATTACAAACACTTGAAATAAAAAGGTTTCATATCTTTGTAATTTATTAAAACATAAACATTTAAACAGTTCTTGAGTTAATTTTAATTATTTAACGTTAAAATTAACGTTAATTTTAGATTAAGCAGAATAATTTAGGTTAAGTTTTCGATTTTAAAAGGAATAATAATTTCTATATAAATTCTGTATAAATGATGGTCGAATTGAAGAAAATGTAATATATGATTTATATAGTTTTGAAAGAATACGTAATCCTTTATGATATGTGCTATTGAAAGTAGTGTAGAGGAGTAGACAGAAACGACAAGACGGGTAAAATGTGTTTGTTTATATGTGAGGTTGATAGTCCTAGCCTGACTCTTATGAATTATTGTTAATCTATTCAGTTACATGTTAGTTAGATTTATAGTTCTTCGTTGTCAGTAGATTTTCATTTATACTGTTGTTATTGTACTAGTCTACAAGCTTGTAATCATAATTTTGGCAATAAGTATAGTATTTACATATATTAAAACAAAATACCAAGTTTTTGTAATACCAAATTTTGTTCTTATTTAGTTATATATATATATATAGTTTTAATTGAGCTCAATTTTTGAAACTTTTCGATTTATTTTACTTGAACTTCACTGCATTTTTAATATCTAACTTGATTACTTTCATCGCGTTGCCAAGATGGGAAAATGAAGTAGTGCTGCTATTAAAATGTGATTAACTAACATTTTATAATTGTTATCATCTTTATGGTTATGGTTAATCGATATACATCTCGTATATTTAGGTAAGTGCTAAATTTAGTCGTGAAGTAAATTATTATTTAAAACTTCGATTTTAATCTTTAAGGTTAAAAATGATTTATATCATGTCATACCGTTTCTAAACTTTTAGTACAATATATCTTAAAGCTGACAATTATTGTTATTGTTCATTACTGTTTCACACTGACAACAAAAATCCATTACAATAATAGATATATAAGGCTATGTTTAATAATTTAATAATAGGACTTCCACTTATATATTTATAGCAGCAAGATAGTAGAAAACAATAAATGCCCGTTTTACAGATGACACGAAGCTCCTAGGGCTTAAAATATATTATGACAGCAAAATTTTAAAGTTATTTCAAGAAATTTTAGACAAAGGTAGCACTATTTTGGACATAGAGACAAAGTTACTTTAGTTGGGCAATTTATTTAGTGGTTAAATCGGTGATATAGAAAGTACATTTGTGGAGAAAACAGGTATTTGAATATAAGACTTCTAGTCAGTACCTGACAAAAAGTAGATAAAATATTGTATATCTATTAAAAACAAATAAACCCGCCATTAAAAAATTTTTATTTATATTTAATTTTCATTTCATTATTATAAACTAAACTTGTCTATTGATGAAAATCTATTGATGGTAAATCCATTAGTACAACAAAATATAATTTTATATCACGTTTTTTTATAATTTTAAAATTATTTAGTATTTAATCCATCTAAAATTTCATGAATGCAAAATTAATGACAAACAAAGATATTTTAAATATAATATACATATATTTACATATTAATTTTAAAATCACTACAAAATATTACAGTTGCATAAATTTATTATTCAGCATTGATATATAATATACACACAAACATCGCACATTTAAAAATTTTAGATAGTTTATCAACTATTACATTCAATATTAAAACTACTATTAAAAATTACATTAATATAAAAATTACTTATCATCTATGTATATACAAATAATAGACAATTTCCTTACAAACATTAACTATAAATTCTTAACTATACATTACTATAAATTCCTTTAAAGTAAAACACAAAAAACAAGAGTTAGAAGTCTACCAAATTTAAATGTAATATTAGAAATAGTTTTTAATTAAAAATATTAATATATATTAATTATAAATATAAATATTAATTGGTTTTCTTAATTTTTTGCAATTTTTGTCACTTTATAATTTGTTACATTGAATATGATTTTCAGTGAAATTCCGTTTTAACCCTCAACTGCCCATTGTATTAAATATGATACAAACCATTTTAAATGTCTAATACACTCTGTCATTTAATTTTAAGATAAAATTGATATTTATTCTTATATTTTGTTAAACGAATTTTCATGTTCAAATACAAATATTAAATAAATAAAATTTTTTCTTTCTTAGAGAATTGCTTTTAGTTTTTATTTTAAATTTATTGTATAAACGAGTTTAACTCTTGGCAGGGCACGAGTTTAAGTTAGTCTGTGAATATGGATATTTAAACAAATGACGTCATGAAAAGTAAAGCAGCACTTAAAGTACACATTGGGAATATACGGGTTATATGAACCAAATGTTTAATATATGTCTATGCACTGGCCTTAATTGAACGAGTACAATTTTTGCTGGACAGAGCATTTAATCTTTAAGAATTTCAACTGGAGGCTTGTTTGAGAATATGAAAATATGGTCTAAAAGAATACACTGATTTGATATAGTGTGCAATCAATACTTAACATCAGTGATGCTGCTTCCTTTGATTTCGGACACGAAAATAATGATCCGCAGATACAATGCAGAGCGAAGACTGTACTAATCGTGGTGACATTGGGGTGTCCACTGATTGCCATCATTTAAATACTCAATAAAATTTTGAAATTCGATTTCGATACATAATCATATATAAATAAATACATAAATTTACATCGAGTCATATCCTTAAATAAAAAAAACATTAATTAATATTATACATAACATCGTTTATTCTCTATATTATATAGAAAATAGACGTGTTTTTAACTTGATGTTAATTAATTTGAGTGTGTAACTCAATTGTATAAATTTTAAGACAAACGGTCAAATATTTACTTGAAAGATTCAGTATATCAAAACCCCTATTAATAATAATATAAAATCAATGCAAAATTATATAAATCAACTCTAAATGATTTTTTCATCAAATAAAAAGTTGAGCAGTCAAAGGTTAATTTGGGTTTACAAATATACTTTGTATTTCGCCTAAGATTCTTTCCGTAACTTACCAAATTTCTTTTTTTTTTATATCGGAAATCTATTTCGATTCAGGAACTTCTTTTTTAAAATACCGTTCTTTTTCCACAACCGTTGTTATACGAGAGGCTTTGAAAACTTCTTGTGCACTGTCAATACGTATTGAAAAGTCTTTTAATATAAATTTGAAATCCTCAACTAAAATTTCCTTTTTGCATTGTATTTTGTTAGCAAGTGTATCACTTAATGCACATCCATTCACTTCATTAATTTTAAATTCTCTCTCCTCAAATACGCTGTCAGGTTTCCACACTATTCCAATTTCTTTGCCACCATTTGGGTTATAAAAGAAAGCAGCGAAATCCGAATAACCCTCCTGATGAAACAATTGAATTTAAAAACTATTTTACACTATATAATATGATTTCTATGATTTACCCTTAATTTTTGAACTGCAGCTTTTACAAAATTGGTATCCGCTAATGGTAAACGCCAGTTTGGTTTGCCCATTGCAGTAAAAGGAGAACCGAAATCTGTGGCCATTGTGTTAGGAACCATATCTGGTTTAAGTTGAATAATTAAATTATAACCCTGATTAGAAGCCGTAAATAGTTTAGATGGTTTGATAAATATTTCATCAATAGACAAAAGTGATGATTCTATAATAGCCAAAGCTTGACGGGCTAAAATCGTTACACGTGCCAACACATTTGCATTCGGCTTTGTACTGGTGGACCAAAGATATCCATAATGTTTTTGATCGTAAGCAGTTATTATACATAATGAGGGAAATTTCTCACGGGTTGCATGAAATTGATACTCAATTTCTGATATTTTATTTTCTAAAAAATAAAATTCACAAAGATTTTACTTGATATATAAACGAATAAAACTTATACCCTTACCGTCTAGTGCATTATTGAAATTCAATAAAAATAATTCTGCGTTCCAATCCGTATGAGCTAGTAAATGCAAATATCTAATAAAACCCATTTGAGCCGACGTTATTACTTGAGGGGAATTGGTCCGTGTAAACTGGGAAGCAATCAATAATTCAGTACACTCTTCAGGCCATAGGCCATCATCTATTAATTGTGAATGCAACCAACGTTTAGCAATCATAACTGTTGCTCCAAAAGTAGGATGTGATTGATAAAGTGCATGTAATGCACCAGTCACTTTCGGCAGAATGTAGTGTCGCTTTTCCAACGCTACACTTGACTCACTATCAGTGTATTGCGTTATACCACGTTCATTTATCTCTTTTTTCAATAAAGCAATTTCTTTTGGGTGTGCAATTTCAATTTTAAAACAATAACCTTCCTTCAATATCAGTATTCCATCATATGTAACTTCTGTGCGCAGTTTATGCTTTTCTTGCAGTAATCTAGCAATTTCAATGTAAAATGCTACTTTCGCAGCACGTAAAGCAGTTAATTCACTCGGCCATTTACCGCTTGAACCTAGAACGTTACTAAATGTTAACAAATTCATTTTAAAATATAATTTTGAGCTTACTTAGCTGTATAACACCACATTGCATATGTTGCGCAAACAATTTATCACCTATATACCGTGCTTGTGGAAGAATTGGCACCGATTCGCAATAACGAAAAACTGGTGATGTTCCTGCTATATACACAATTTCCAAAGGCAATTCGTTTAATCCTTGTAGTTTACGTGCCAAATCATTAAAAACACGTATTACTCTTAAGGATAGAGCTTCCGCGTCTGTATCTTGCTCTACTCGGTATCTTTCATTCACTTTATCAGTTTTAAAAGCAGATGTCAGTTTATAAACAATATCCAATTCACCAGCTATATAACCAAAATCCTTCTCTTCTAATTGAAAATGATATTGTAGTAGATATTTAACAATTGTTTGTACTATGAGTCGTTTTTTTAATTGCGTATCAGAGGTTGAAGCCCAAACTACAGATTCAGTAATGGTACCATCTTGAAAACGACGAAGTTTTGCCTCATCACCCCAAAATTTTCTGAACTCTTCAGCTTCCTCAGCAATTGTTTCTGGTCCTTTATCAAGCACCTCAAATGCATGATCTGGATCAAGAATAATACCTAAATGTAAATGTTTTGGAGTGGGTTGTGGTTTCTCATCTACTTCCCAACCTTGTGTCAATTGTTCTAAAGGTAAGAATGATTTAACACGTTTTCCTAAGCCTTTCCGCAATAAACTGAAATAATGAATACAGTAAGGTTAATAAAAATAAATTATTAACTTAAATTAAAAATAAGTGTATTTTTATTTTACCAATATTATATATATATTTATGTTATTATTTATTTAATTATTTAAAAGTTATTATACAGATTTTCTTTATATGAAGACTGCAATAAAATAAAACAAAATATCCACTTCAAATGAGAACAACCGATAAACAAATATTTTATAAAAGGATGTATAATTCAATAATAAGACCCATTCCTAAATATACGACAATCTAGTCACTTCTATAGATAAATTAAACAATCTTTGTTTGAGTTTGTCTTTAAACTGATTTTTATTGTTCTTTAAATGGTGATAAGAAAATCTTTATTCAGTAGAACTTAGTGAAAAAAGCATTCCCACGAAAACTGCCAACTTGCAGTTTATTCCGTCAGAATACATTGTATTTGAGTAGTATTTATGAGGTAGTCATATGATATGTGTTGCACTGAGGTGCTACATATGACTGTATATACTATATCACTAAGAAAAAGAATATAGTATTAATATAGTCAGTCTAGATCAATTAAATAATATAACGATAACGGTATGAATTCTAATATCTCTAAGTTAAACTAAAGTTGATTACCCACACAATATCATTCGACGTTTATGAAGTAGATTAAAAACAACTTAAATTGCTTACTACTATTTCCAATTTAATAATCAAAAATGAAAAATATAACGCCATATCGCTATAATAAAGTGATATGATGAAGAATATAATGGGCAACTAATTATTGAAATCGCAAGAAACATGGAAATCTGCTGAAGTATGTTATTCAATCCATAAAACTTATTTCGTTACAGTACAAATCTCGATAAACATTAGCTATTGTTTTAGGACAGGTTTGGCTGCATCTCAATTTTCTAAAAAGTAGGACATATTTCTAAATAAAAGTAAATAAGCATAACATAGAAGATGTCGTAGTACTTTCGACGTCCTTCTCATAGTTACGAAAAAATCATTGAAAGGAATATTCTCCCATTTACCTAACCAACAAATTTACTGCAAGACTGGTATTTCTACGGAACATTTCAGTGAGATTGCTAGTTTTGTTTATTTGTTTATTTATTTCTACGGAACATTTCAGTGAGATTGCTAGTTTTGTTTATTTAGATTTTATTAAATTTACAGATGTCTACCAATTGTATTCAAATGCTCAATGTAGGAAGCTTTCAATACCTGTTTGCGTCAAACTAACGACATGACAAGCTTTTTTTAGATGCTTCGGATGAATAATTGTCTGCTATATTTCAGAAAATCAGATAAGAGAAATATCTTGGTCCCAGATGTGTAGCAGTCAAAATTTGTAGATAGATAGATGTAAATAGATGTTACTTGGAATGTTCTGAACTATTTTAAAGTAACTTATCTATCTGATATATAGTTTATATACATTTCTATACAACATATCAACTTTAAACCAAGTTATAGGTTTTCTGATAGTAACAACTTTTAGCCGTTTTTTAGTTTAAAGCTGTCAGTGTACATAGACGTAATAACTGTCAATAATTTAAGAAAAATTTCCTTAACATTATTTACTAAAGTATTTGTCATACTTGTTTAATGTTTAACTGCGTATAAATTGCTTTACTAACTTAAATGCATATAAATTGCAAAGTAAACTTTTTATATCACCCAATCATGCAGTTAGTGCTCAACTTAGCTCAAATAGTCGAAATGTAAACTAACAGCAAAAGAATGAGTAGCTGTGAAAGGTACCATGAATGGAAAAAGAAAGAAAGAACATAGAAAAATATAAGTATTATTAAAATCGAATGAAGGAAATATTTTTGTAAAAAATCTCCCATAAAATATTTACAATATATATTTTAAATACTACCTTGTTATTACTTTCAGCAGTTGCACATAAGAATTTCCAGTATAATTTAGCTTCAGCTGTGGCGGCGCATGCATTTCAAGGATTTGTTGTACAGTATCATCATTATTTATTCTAATAAATATAATAATAATATGTATATAATATATATATATATGAACAACTTACTTAAGAATATGATCAAACTGTGTGTAAATTGGAGACTTGGTCATAAAAATGAAATGAAAACTATTCAATCTCATGTCATTTAGCATATCTACAGCTAATTTGGCTTCAGAACGCACATGTTTATACATTTCCAACGATAAGTTAGCACAAATATTATAGAAACCTGTCGCATCAACAAAAACAACATCATAATATGTATGAAACTGTTCCAAGGAAGGTTGATTAACTGTTTTGTTTTCTGGTGGACAAATAGAAATACCCTTATTATCTTCATCCCAATTGCTGTGAGCTATAAAATCAAAATTAATGTTTTTTATTTAAAGTATCAAGTTTATAATTATTACCTAATTGATTCCATACTGTGCGTGCTACTTGATAACTGCTCATATTGGCATGAAGTTTAGAATGTTTAAATAGATATACTATAAACATTGCCAGTATATGTGTAGAAAAACCGCTAAACCCTGTATTTAATTGGCGTTGTTGTATCCAAACTTTTAAAAGTATCAAACCATCCTGAAAGTTCAACCGTTCAGTAAAAATTTCATTCAGCAATTGCTGATTTCTTTGCATAGTTAAATCGAAAAGAACATTAGCATTATAACCTGGTGTCGCCAAACCTACTGAGGCTTCGCTTTCGATTTCACCAAATATTTTACTCTGAACATTATTAGTCCATGGCACAAAACGGCTTAATTTAAAAGACGTTTCAGCACCGGCAACAAAAACACGAATTATAACTTTGCTAGCCAATTTTTCATCTAAATAAGTTGGAGTTATTTCGAGCACAGACTTATGTGGATTATTGGAATAATAATTATATTTTAGATGATTAACATTGAGATTTCCAAAGTATTTACTTTTAAGCATTTGATTAACCAAGTATGTTAGATAGTAGGCTCTCTTTTGTTCATATACAAAGTTTAAACAATTTTCTCTTTGGAAGCACTCAGCCGGCATTTGCACACACACATCTGCAACCAATTTAGAGCCTAACCAACTTCTTGTAGCAAACGAACCAATAAAATAAGGTTCTACATTTGGTTTTATAAATTGAAAATAAAATTTTTTTTGCTTTTCTATTCCGAGTTCTGTAGAGGAAAAAGGAAATTTAAGTATACTCCTTTGTAACCATAACATTTCGTCACAATTTTGTTTCTCAGGCATAGATACCAGATCCTTTGCAAATTGCTTAAAATTTTCCAACCATTTATTGGCAAATGTTTGATATTTGTCTTTTATTTTTATTTCGGTTAACATTTCCTTTACTTGTAATCGAAATAAATTAGAATGAAATAGATTTCGGGTGTCTTTAAGTTCATTTATTTCCTCCACTGTAGGCGCCTTTAACTTTTCATTCTTCACTTTCGTTTTAATTTTTTTACCAGTTGATTCCTGATCACTCGTTGCTAATTTCCTCTTTTTAGCCTGCATTTTAACACTGGAATTATCAACTTCAACCACAGCCTCGCTCTTTAAAGCGCCATTCTGCTTCTTGAGTTTATTACTCTTCTTTAAAGTTAGCTATTAAAAAGAATAATATTGAATTTAGTTTGAATTTTTATTTTAACTTATATTACCTTTTCACCTGTAACCTTTTTTACTTTTACCATCTTATTTATGTTATATTTAATTTTAAAGCCGTTTGTATTTTGAATTATCAACTTAACAAATCACACGTGCATATCACACATGTGTGCGTTTTGTTATTGTAATAAAATGTCATTTTAAAGTGTTTCAGTGGAACAATAAAAATACGTACTAAAGTCAAAGAAGATAAAGAAAAGAAACTGAGACTTTCTCGACGTTGGCTTTGGCATGGATGCACCTTTAAGTATATTTTTTGACTTTAATGCTCCAATAGAACACGTGTCACTCAAAAATTAACATGCAAAGCAAGAACAAAATTCGTAAAAAAACCCATTTTCCTGAAAGTACTTAAAAAATAAGCCTTTCACACTATAATAGTGCCAAATCTTAAAACTGATCTATTGTGAAAGATTTTTGGAAAAAAATAGACAACTTCAGTCAGCTGTTTATTATTTACAAATGTTGCGAGCGTTAATGAGTAAATTTAAATATTTTGAAAAATTAATTTGGTTAATAAAATATTTGTAGGTGACTGTTAAGTTAGTAATTGTAAAAACTCATTCGTTAAAATGAATAAATATAAAACACAATTATTAAAAAAAAATTATTTTTCATCAAGAGAAATAAAACAGTGTTATACGGCGTTTACATTGGCCGAAAATGGCTCATTTTGGTCAAAAATCGAAAATGAGTATCGAATGGCTCATTCTTGCATATAAAATTTCAAGCACAAAAATGAGCAATTTTCTCACATTCTGTATGACGTTCGAATGCATTCCACATACGTTCCAAATGCAAAGGAATCCATTGAACATACCCTAAATGAAAGCTCTTCATGGCATTTTGACAGTTTGAAAAAGCTGTTTTGACATATTTACAAAAAAAGGTAAAAAAATGTTTGGTGGTTGCATTTTCTTTAAAACGATGCACCAATTTTTGGAACTTCTACTTCCCAAAAATAAATAAATCGAATCTAGAAACAAGTTTTCAGTTTATATTGTAAGGTTTGAAGGCATATTTAACCTTCATGCAACATTTTTTTGGCACAGGCCAAAAATCAAATCAACATGCAAGTTGAAAAATTAGATGTTGAAATGAGAACAAATGAAATAGAACGAATGTAAACACTTTCAAATGGCTCATTCAAAATGAGCCATTTTCGGCCAATGTAAACGCCGTATTAAATACTGATCATTAAGCATTAACTAGCAATGTTAAAAGTGAAAATTATATAAAGGAATTTCTTTTATGTTCTCATATTGCTTGAATGTGTTTTTTATATAAAATTCAACCGCAAATTTGTTTGAAATTTGCTTGCCAAATATTTATTAGTTTAAGCAGTGATACCAAATTATTTTGAAGCTCCAAAACTTATTCTATTTGACCATTCATGTGAAATGAATACATCTAATAAAGCAATAGTGAAATGGATCAAAGAACATAATATATATTTTGTTAAGTGAACTAAAGCATGATATAGATGATGCTATATATATGCACACCACGTATGCAGACCAAGTATGCGCTTTAATATACACTCTGAAGCAAGGTGTAATTTTACCACATACATGTCTGCAGACCGAAATTTGGTAGAAATACTTTTAATATATACAGTGCGATTTGATAGCTCGCCGTACTTGGTTTGCATACATATGCATTGTCTATATCATGCTTAAGTAATATAGTACAACATCGCCGAGTAAAAAGTAATTAATATACTTTGAGATTAATATAAACTTTTTATATTAAATTTAATTACCAACAGTGAGTAAAGTTATTATTAAAATAAAATTTAAATTTCAATAAATTAATTTTAAATAATATTTAAATATATTTTCGCTTAGCCATAAAACTTTTTTTGTTTTTCGCCAGACTCATCAGAATTTACACAAAGTAGTTCCATAATAGCTACGCTATTAGTTTGTACTTGTGTTTTTAAGCTACTCGAGCTAGTGGAATAGACCTAATATGTTCCTGTGACGGTGTGAACTGCCACTAATTATTTTGTAATATTTTATTTATCATGTCACCCTGCAATAAACGTCAAAGGAGTAATTCACCTAACTTGACGTCAAGTGCACATTTTAATCATTGAATAATAACCATATTTAATACATTTCTTTACATTAAAAAATAATTGTGATAAATTAATATTAATAATTAATTGATAACTTACTTTGAAATATTGAAACAATGCGAAATAATGGGATTATTTCAGTAGTGTAGTGCTTTGCACTTGCTCTCTGGAACTATGCGTTTGTAAAAAAGAGAGAATATAGTGTAAGAGCCATATAATTGAAATAGAAAATCGTGTATATACACAAAACGGCAAATTTTTAATTATATATATTGCACAGTAGTGCGTTGTGATAAAATTATCTATGTTGCTGAATCACACATGTTGATAAGAATTAACTCATGTAAAAATCAACAGTATTTATTATAAATAATAATTGTTATAAGTATATTTTTAATTATATTTTAGTGTTTTTTGTTTTATAGTAGATTAGTTCAAAATATATAATGCTATAAACATAAAATTTAATATATAATCAATCAAAATGCAGACTTTTTATTTAAAAATGACCTCGTATATTACTTATAACAAATTTAATTTCTTTCGTAGTATATGTTGTGTTAACCTGTTCAAACTGTGTTGTTGGTATTAAATTGTGCATTCGTTCCAATTTAAATGTATATAATGCGATATAATATACTGGGTAAATGGCAAAAATATATATAGTAATATTTTTCATTGATTCTTTGCAAAAATTATAACTTTTGCCTATGGCATAAGCATGTGAAATTTTATTGCCGGCAAATTTTTCTTGCATTATTTCCATTTTTGCCCACTATAATTATGTGAAGCATTTTCTTTCTTTCTCGTGTATTTCAACTATTGTTTCATATTTCTTCCCTTTTCATACAATTTGCAATGTCATATTGACTAGAAGAGAAGAGTGCACAGTGTTCATCCATTTAATAATTTCCTCAGTTTCTTCGCCAACTTCTTAATACTTTGCTGCTGCTTGCTGTAATAGCAAATTGCAGCAAGTTAAAAATGTCGAGCGGTTAAATAATTTATCAATGAATAGTTATAAACGAATAAAAAAAAATGTTATAAAGAAAAAAACATCATTAAAACGTTTAAAGTGTGAATCGGTTAATAATGTTTAAAATATAAGTGACTGGCGTGCGTTTTTGACAAAGTGAAAGCGCATTGTAAGTTTATTATAAATAAAGGAACTTCGTATTGTATTGCACAATATAGTATATTATTTTATTAATGAATTAAAATTTAAAGTTTTGATTTATATAAACCAAAAACTGGTACTCTTAGAAAATTTCCTGTGGGGTGCAATATATACATACAAACAAGTGTAGATAGAAGTTACTAAAAAGTGGCATAAAAGTAACTACACCCTGTCTGGAATAAACTTTGTTACGCGGTATTGTTTAGACGTTACTAAAAGTTTGTAAACTATATACTTTAATTTCATTACATATTTAATTTCATTTTAAATATTAAATTTATCATTTTAATAATCCAACCAAAAAAATACGTGGCCTTAATGATGCTTATATTATACTTAACTAAAGTGATATATATATTTTAGAATTTAAAACAATTTTTGTTTAAAATATACATTTTTTGTTTGTAATATATAATTAATTATATATTTTCCTAACCCTTTTATTATTTCTTATTGAACATATGAAAATCAATGAGCAATATGTAAGCAATGCACTGGACAAATTTGAAATATATCCATCACTTTTACATCATTTCATACGTACCAGTTGGTATATGTATTTTACTATATATTGTACTCTTTTCTTTGGAAGTGTCAAAATTTTCTTGATGTTTATTTGTGTGTTTGCATTAATAGGAACACAATTGTGAAGTGATTATATATTAATTTTACATATTGAAATGTTTTTTATTACAAAAATTCATTAATTGAAAGTTTTAATTATAATATTTCACTTTCTATTTATTAATTATGTTGTATTTATTGTGATATTGCATTTAGCAAGTATGTTTGGTCGAACAGAGGATTCTAGTGCTATAAATTGCATCTTTATAGTTCATGTAATTTTTATATATAAAAATTTATTTTTATATTTAAACACTAATTTAGATATAATTTGGTATTTTAAACAATACATACTTTTTATGTATAATAAATATAAATATTAAATAGTACCAAGAAATACATTTTTATATTGTTAAATAAATAAAATATGAATTCGTGGTTGCATTTTTGCACTCTTGTCAATATGAAAAGCTTTTTTCACCAATTATAATTTTCTGTGTGTTGATCGGTGTGATTCATGAAACCTTAGCCTCCTTTCTTGTTACTACTTTTTTAATGGAAAACTATTCGGATTCTATAACCACATTTTTATTAAATATTAATATATATTGAATTTAATAAAAAAAATTTTATGAATTATTAAAATTTTTAATTACAGATGACTTTAAAGCATAAATTCTATATTAATTTCAACTGATTATAATACACAACGGGCGATGGAGTGCAATTGTAGTTTGAAAATAATATAATTTAAAATATGTAATAGCAAAAATCGATTGGGCATTAAATGTTATTCGACGAGTTATAATAAAATTAACGTAAATAAAACAAAAGCATGAAAACTTCATAAAAATTTATTGAAAATATTAACATGTGTGGGACACACAGTATTATAAATTCATAAATTAATATTAAAAATGAATGTATTAAATACATAAAAATGTTGTTTGTTTTTTACAAAAGTAACATTAGAAAATTTTATAATTTTTGAAAAGCTAATCTTTAATTTTCAATCAATTAAACATTTTTTATAATAAAAAAGTTAACGTAAAGCAGTGAAGGAAATAATTTAAAAATGTGTTGACGTTTTCTAAAGAAGCGTTTATTTATTTTGGGTTCATGTTTTTTATTTGTTTAAAATCTTCAAATTTATTCGATGAATTTTTTGGATCAGTGTAACTCTAAAATTTTTGAACGTGAATGGAAACTTTATAGTGTGCACTTTTAAGTAATATTTTGAAAATTATTATAAATTAAATACATTGAAAAAGTGTTCTGTGAAAGTAAAAGCAATTTTATTGCATTTGCCAGATACTGGTGGCTTAGCGGATTTACACTCGTATCCTTTAGCGAACTGCTCATTTTGTGATCGTACTGAAATTTATCAACAAAATTAAGATGCAACGCCGTGAGACACGTGAAAGAGGAGGGTAAGTTTTATAAATTTAATAAAACAATTACAATATACATATGTATACATAATTATTATAAAGATGATTGTAGAGTAACCATTGACAGTTATTTATATAGAAAATTAATTTGCATATTTCTGGCGCTAAAATTGTATAATATAGCACATGTACATACATTATAAACAATTATTTGTGTTTAAATATTCACGTGTCTGATTTGCCTTAAAGGAGCGCGTGAGAGCCATTTTCGCGTACTACCCACCTGCCTGAGAAAGTAAAAGCTCTGTCTACATATAAACTATAGAAGAATATTTGTGATACGGCAAATCCACCCAAACAAACATTCGGTAGTCGTAATCGTAATCGTGCATGAGCCAACAAAATGTATATTGCTTGTGCATATATTAATACAATTTAAAAGTATTTTAATTTAGAAAATGATTCTATTTTAAAATGAATTTTCTTGGCAACGAGGTTATTGATATTTTCAAGGAAGTAAATTGTTTGTACAAAAATGACTTGTCAGGAGTTTGCTAAAAAGTAACAATTATTAGTTTTATTTTTATTTATATATCAATTATTGAAAAGTAAACTGATATTATAACTACAGCAAGATATTAAAAGACAGATTATAGATATGTAAATAGATTTATTAATATAAAGCTGCTTATAAGTGATTTAAGTACATAAACCTGCATAACACATGTGTAGGGTGACTTCATTAAACTTTTCTGAACAGTAGATTTTTTTATTTGAAATTAAATTTTGTTGAAATAATATAAAAAAGTTTTGAAAGACAATAAAATTTTACGATATTGCCAAATTTAACACGAACTATCGGTCTTAACGGTTAAGAAATGAGTCACACATTGCTTATAATCTAGCTTCGAAAACTTATCTATTCACGAAGAAGACCTTTCTTGAATACCCTATATTGTTATGGTATAAGTAACCCAGGAAGATCTATCGAGCAAATAACATGAAAGAGATTCCGAATATGTATACATGAATTAATATAAGGGTAGGTTCCAAGAGTGGCTAGTTCTACGTTTCGGAGAAACTTTGTCGAGTTCTTCGACCAATTAGCAATTACAGTTCACTATTTCGTAAGGGACATACCAACATCTGCACTAAAATATTTTTTTAGTGTTGACCTTGACATCCCATATTGAAAAGACTGTCGATTTGAAGTACGTATGTTTAATGATTAACTGGAGAATGTTTTAGCTCACTCACATATTCTTAGTGCACCATTTTAAAACGTTCGCTCTCTCATGTCTAGATACATGAATATGAACAGCTCAGGCCCACTTTCCAAAACTTTTTTTGAGGTAGACACTAGCATTAAGTTTTGCAAGTTGCAAAACCAAAAATGGAGAATGTTCATCGACCATCATGGTCGCCTAAACCATCACAAACGGCAGTCTTCGTTTTTATTTGTACAATTGTGAAATTCTTTTCATTCAAAGAAAAAGACATTTAAAAATAGAAGCTATTCGTACAAACGCAACAGATCATACATTCTATCAAACTAGTTTTTTTAACATCACTGAAATCCTTTTCTTTGGAGCTTGAAAAACTTTACCCTAAACTTATTTTTAAGTATTTGTTACTTGACGATTATTGATATGTTTAGCAAAACAGTCATTTACACGGATTTCTGTTAATATTCAAAACGATTTATTAACAGGATTGTCACCAGTTCAGAAGCTATTGCAATTTGAAGTTTGTTGCTTTTTATTTAGGCATACATAACTGTATAAAATAATATACTATTACTTCTTCTATAAAATTTTTATTCTGCTATTAGTAAGTAAAAGCGAATGACGTTATAAAATCAGACCATTTGGACTTTATTTGGTACATTGGTACATTGGAGTAAAATCGATTTTATGCAAACGGTTTATGTTAAAATTAAACCGATTTATAAATCTAAATTTTTTTTCACCACCGTTTCCAATTTTTTGGCTAGAACCATTATTTATTTATTATATGTTATACTTGTACTATAGTTTGTAGTGGAATATCAGGCTTTTATCTTTCCATAACTGACACATGTAAGGATGTGAATATTGCGATGATGCAAAACAACATAAGCCTTCCAATATATATTTGATTCAATCGTTTGAACAGGTGTCGGTTATTCATTGTGACTGATTCTCTTGCAATTCTGCAAATATTTGTTAAGTTTTTTCATTTTTTTTATAACTTTATAACGTACTTTATTGTTTATAAAGTACGACATAATTCACATTTCGTTAACTGTATTGTTCCAGCAGGGGTTTGGAGATTAAAATCCTGAAATATTAATTAAATTCTTAAGGTACCCAAAAATGAAACATATTTTTATAGCGAGCCGCAATCTAAAATTGTTCTTAGTTTATCTTTTGGTCATTATTCTACGCTGGTCTTTTTTAATTTTTTCCATAGAGAGGAACATCCCTTAACACGTGATATACATTTTTATTAAACTACATATAATTTACATTTAAAGTATTGGCTTAAGTTTACTTACATAGAACCCCGTTCCCGCATTTTAAAATAATTGATTATATGTAGTATATATTCATTGTTATTACCTTTCTGAGAGCGCGAATAGACCACTAGGTTCTTAGCAATACAAGTTAAAGTTATGGTTAAAATAGACACAATAGTTAAATATCGAGGGGCTTTTAGTTATTAGTAATGTCGTTATGACCGTGTCGTTATTGTAACACCAGCGCATTACGTGTTTGTTTTAAGTTACAAATGTTCGCTTGTCATGTAAATATAAGTATCTTGTGGCATTCAATTATATTTAAATGTTTCGTTCGTGTTATCGACAGGCATATGCTCCAAGGTTCCTTTGCTACAGTTACCATGTGTTGTATTTGGCATAAATATCGTCGTCGACTAAATCTTCATGTATTGTATATGTATACAATACATGTTCCTTCGTTGTCTTTTAATATGACATCTTTATACCGTCTGTTAAAAAAATCTCAAAATAAAAGAGTGTATTGCTGGACTTATGGCGCTTCAACAATCTCCACATAGACACAAAAATATAAATTTTTAATTCGTATGTATAGTTCGTTTTGTTTTATAGTTCTGAGACCTAGCTCGTGACTGCTGAAACAAAAACCAAGCTACAAACGTTTATAAACCGTTGTTTGCGAAATATATTTCGGATTTGGTGGCCCAGATAACAAACGAACAGTTCTGGAGGCTGACTGGCCAAATAAATATAAACGATAAAATACGAAACCTAAAATATAGCTGTATAGGGCATACATTTTGTAAATCCTATGATGACATCACACACACTGCCCTAATCTGGAAACTTCCAGGTATACGACGCAAGAACAGATCTAAAAGGACCTAGAGGAAAACAATAATTCATGAAACTGGTAAATTGTTAAACGAATTAAGCCAAATTGTTCGAAATAGAGACTATTAAAAAACTTTTGTTGAGTCCTTAAGCTTCTAATGGAGTATAGTATAATAATAATAATAATTGTTGTACGTGTCTATGCAACCTCTACAACCTTGCGTTGTAGAGTGTTCCAGATTGTTCTATGCATGTTTTATTGACATGTTGAAGTATATGCTGTTGTGCAGACGTTGCCATTTATTATTTAAGCTAGTTCATCAAACAACTTATTACATTCTACGGTTCTTTTTGTAGCAACCCAGAAATAAAAGTTTAAATATTAGACCTAATTTGTGATATAAGTATATGTCCCGCCATCTTATGGTTTCAGCGACGATCAAGCTCCTCTATTAATTTTAGCGCTAAGTCAAAGTTTAATAAGGAAATAATACTGGTTTGGTTGCGACATGTGTAACGTGTTCACTTGTCAGTGATTTTTATTGCAATCGAAATAACTTGATAAAAAAAACTTATTTTTATTTATATATTAATTGTGTATTAAAATAATTTTTTTTAATGAAGATTTATTGATTATAAATTATTTACTTAAGATTACTTTAACACATTTACATAATTTTTCAAAAAGTTCAATATCTTTTATTCTCAATGCAATAAGTTCAGTTACTTTGATTACAGGTTTTTTAAATATATACAAACATTTTTTTTCATTTACCTTTAAAACGTGAAGCTGCTTTTTTTTAATTGAATTGTTTTTATTTATTTTTATTTTATTTTTTTTGGCAAAAGTAATGAATAGGAAACACTTCCAATGCATTCTTTTGCATCCGTTATTGTTTTTTAGTTCTTTAGTTAATTAAATATATTTTATTTGTTATATTTTTGTAGTGAAATTAAATTACTTATTAAATTTAATTGATTCTCTTTTATTCAGCTTTGCCAAAAATAAAATTTTATCGCTCATTTATCACTACTTCTGTTTTCGATAGACATATATTTTATGTGGAAAAAACTATTTATAATAAAAACATAAAATTAATAAAAAAAACCCTAAGCTTTGACTTAAATATAATATAGACCTGGATCTGCTTCGCTTGATTTTGTTATCACGAGATTAAAATAAAATATAATGCTATCAACTAATTTATGCTAACACGATACTTGTAGAGAACATATCAGTGTTAAGTGTGAGTTCTTTTTTATTTAACATAACATGTTAAATTAACTCAACGTAGTGTTAATATTATTGGTCGCGATGCCCCATAGTGTTTATTATTAAACTATATTTTTACGAATGATATTTTTTCTTGCTAAAAAGCAATATATGATCAAAGAATTATTGTATCCATTGTCTTGTCTTGAAACTTGTCAATAAATGGGATAGGTGCAAATTTTAACGCATATATTGTAAAAGTTGCTACAACAAAGCACAAATTTTTTTTCTCTTTATATCAAATCAAATACTTTTCTGCCCACCTATGTAGATATGTTCTTTTTTTAATGCTTTTTTTATGCGTATTAAAAAATTTTAACTACAGGTTACTTATTAAAATCAATGGATATAAATTTATTGGAACAATATTTCAGGAGCGGCTAGATCTACAACCAAGTTCCGCTCGCTAGTAGTCAAGGACTTAACAAGCACATC